CAAATTCCTAATTCAGTAGCAGTTGCCACTCTTCAGCCAATCTCTTACTCCTGCCTTCCTAAGTCATTAATCTTGTTGTAAGATCAGGAATTCGTGTCACCTGGAGGACCAGGTTAGACTGAGAGCTGCACAAGACCCGAAAGACCAAACTAAAACAGGGCCACCAAAGCTGAAGTTCCACCTCGCCAAGCCAAAGCTGAAGTATGTCTGACCTCCCAAGAAGCCAGGAACCCCACACCACCCGGTCTAGTTGGCAAGATCAGGAAACGTCCCCTGGCCTTGCCTTTCTGGGGTCAGGAGCTGGCAATGACCCGTGTTCCGCATCCTTTGGCCCTTTCCTGCTGATGGGGGGCCAGCGCCTCCCAGGCTCCTCCAAGCACCTTCCTAGTTCATAAAACAGCATACTGCCCAATTCCAGAACTGCGAGTCCAGGCCAACCACAAGCTGTAAGCTAAATCTGCTTCAATGCTCTTGTGATAATCCTTCAGGGAAAATGGGAGATCAGTGGAAATACAGAAAGAAAGAACTTTCAGTACTACTAGACTAAAACGACTCCCTTTCTCCGTATACCAGGTAGAGTTAGGCTTTCTGTTCTGGTTTTAGTCATTTGCAACTGGGAGTCTTAATGGATAAATCAAGACCTGTCTGGACATCCCTGATATCCTCAAAGTGCCAGAAGTTCAGCTGCTCAGCGCCTGGGTCAGTCACGTGTCCAGGGCATCCTTTTTCTCCATATTTCTAACTCACTGGTTGGAGGGTTTCCATCAACCTACTAAATGGTGCCCAACTTGCGTATCATAAATGTGCAGGTACATTGAACCAGATAATGAAAATGATCACGTGCATCATTTATGAAATTATTCTCATATATTTTTAAATCTACCAAACAAAACTGAAGGCAATGCTACTACTCACAACATACAGAATAAGAACTGAGGGGTTTTTAAAGCGGCATTAACACTTCACAACTGGCCAGTGAAAAGGACCAGGCCTTTGCTGGTCTTCATTAGCCCGATGTTTGCTCTTGTATTCAGCCTTCCACAACTGCTTTATCTTGAAAGGTATATTGGCTCTCACTGTAACTGAGGCTAAATAACCATTAGCTCTACCTAATTAAAAATTGTGAGGGGGACCACCCGCTCAGGGCTCCCCTCCTGTCCCTCTCTCAGACAGGAGCTTTCTTTCGCTCAATATATATATTCTGCTCATAACCTCCGTTTGTTCCTAAAATTCATTCTTCGGTTTTAGAGAACACGAACTCGTCCAGGTCTGGTCGGGAGATCATTTTCCCCTATATCATTTGGACGTTCCGTGTATCATTTGGAGGTCATCCACCCAAGTTCAGTTTTTCTCCCTGTATCATTTGGAGTTTCCCACCAAGATCATTGGACGGAGGTATGAGTTTGCTTTTCTTTCATCAATTCTGGATTGGGACTTGCTCAGGTAACAAACTGTTATGCTTCAAATGTTGATGTCTTTGTTCATTGCTCATAATTGTCATGCTTTGCCTCATACAGTTTTGTCTCATATAGTTCTGTTAAAATTGCTTACAATTGCTTATGCTTTCTCTTGTTACGGTTTTGTTAAAATGTTGGTCAAAATGTTGTTGGTAAATCTAAGTTAAAACATGGAAATGTTATAAGGTTATGGTACTTCTTTAATGGGACATTTTTTGACTGTTTTACTTGTATGTGTTGTGTTTGAGCTAGTTGCTAAATGCACTGATATTCCTTGCTTGAATTTAGACAATAGCGCTAAAGAGAGTAATGTTAGTAAGCCTCCTAGATTTTATGTAAACTTTTGTAAAATGGGATTTTTAGCCAGCTCAGACTTAGAAAATATATATGCCTGTATGTAATATTAATCTTAAAACCAAGCTTTGACTTTTATGGAAATACAGGCAGCATTACAAGCTGCTACTGCATTTGGAGAGGAATATTATATTGTTAATTTTAAAGAGTCAAAAGAGAGACAACCAGTAGAACTACCTGTTCCACTGGAGCCCAAGCAATCAAAGCCCTGCTGGCCTAATAGCCAGGCAGGAGACTGGAAAAGACATTTTCTTCAAGTGTGTATTTTTGAAGGTCCAAGAACTAGAACCTTCTAGTTATTTTAAATTTTAGCTATTTAGCAGGAGAAAGATGAACACTCCTCTGGTGTCTTGTAATGTTTAATAAAGGCACCAGTAACATATACTTCCTGAGATGCTAATTAAATAGAGAGACAGACTACTCTTACAGATACGTTCAGGAGCTACAAAAGATAGATTTCAAGTTTAGATAACTTGACGCTGTAGTAAAAACTGCTTCCTTAGCATCCTATAATCGGAACTGGGAGAAAACAAGGGAGGAGAAAAAAGACAGAGAGAGATATTAAAAAAATGGCTGCCTTTGTTGCAGCCTCAAAACAGACCCTAAGTCTGATTCTCTTGGCTCCAACAAGAGCTCAACGATGATGAGGTTCATCTGCTACTGCTGTTAGAAGCCAGGCCATCCAGCATAAGAGGGACCGCCTTAAGAGGCCCCAAGCCATGCCCTGACTGCCAAGGCTACCACTGGAAGTGAGACTGCACTCTGAGGGGAGGCCCCAGAGCTCAGACTCAGCTTCCCAGATGATCCAGTAGGAGTGAAGGGCCCTGGGCCTGCCTCCTCCCTCTGGCCAGATTGTTATCTCTACCACGGAGGAGTCTTGAGTAATCATGATGAGAAAACAACCCAGCCTATTGCTAGACATTGGCACAGGTCTCTTTGTCCTTCTCCAACCTGGACCTTCCTTCCAGTCATGGTACCTCAATAAAAACAAATATTAAAAGAGATATTTCTTTAGCTATAACTGAGATACTACAATATATTCAGGTTGCTTATTAAACAATGATGCTGAGACAGATTTTTTTTACAAATGTAATATATTGTTGGGTCATGTACAAGATTTAAAAGGTATTTCATTGGTTTAATCTGACTGAATGCTGTGTATTTCATGATAAGTGTGTGTTCATCTGCTTGATTTCTGATGTAATGCAGGCACTCCATGTTGATAGTAAATACATGTGTGACCTCTCTTAACTAAAGCTAGAGAGGCTTATAACAAACTGTCAGACTCCATAAGTAAAGAAGTCTATAAGCCAGTATGTTAGTTCAAGTATTCATGCTTTGATTATCCATGCTCCAATTTCTTAAAAAATTTGTACTTTCCTAAAAGATTCCAAAATCTAGGTAATCATGCAGGGAAAAATCTATAACAAATATGCTAGATTAAGATTCCTTTAACTGGGATCCATCAAATTTTGTCCATAGAGACACTTTTAAGGCCTTAAAACTGAAAAGTTGTATCTTGCTTAGTGTACCCCGGGTATCTGACACGAGCACAGAAGGTAGAAGGGTTTGCAGAAATAAATTTGTCTCAGTTGAAAGAAATTGCCCAGAAAGTGTTTGATAATAAAGAAAGGATACAGAATGGAATTATAAACAAAAAATGAAAATAGTGATACTGGCAGCCTACAGAAATAAGGGTCAGTCAGAAAACGGGAAAAAAGTCATGCTTCCCTGGATCCAGACAGAGAAGGGATGTTGCAAGGAAAAATGTCCAAAACTGCTAGGGGAAAAAAAAAAAAGTGTTCATTATAGGATCAAAAAGTTTCAGATTGATAAGATCATGGGTCTTCACCTCTAGAAAAAAGCCTGTTAGATGTCTGATAGTAGCTCATGCCCATTTTTTGGCAGTTACCCAGCCAGGGGCCCCACTTACAAACTGCAGAGTGCTCTGTGTTGTCCCTCGGTCTGGCAATTCATGTGCCCCCAGTAGTAACAGAGTTGGTGAGACATAAGAGTAGGCCAGTTTGAGACCATACCCAGTGGCCATGGAACATAAAAAAGAGATTAAACCTCACATTCAAGAGATCTCTGCCAACTGACCTACAAAAATTTCTAACTAGTGTTTTTATATGCTGAGGTCCCCTGGACCCTATCTTTATCATTTTTATGGGAAGTCATTACTGTCTCCTTGGTAAAAATCATTTTTTACTATATTCATGATTATCCTGTTGATCTTATTATTTGGCATATGCATGTTTAACTGTTTCTTCAGCTTTGTCTTCTCCAGATTCAGAGCTATCTGTCTACCCAAGATAAAAATGTCTGGTGTCTATTGAGGGCCTTTAGATAGAAACTTTGAAGAATATATCTGACTGCTGGTCAACAACTATGACCCCTTTCAGCCTGTAGAAGACAGAGTGGTCATCACCCATGCTTCCCTCATGGCAGTTCAGTTACTTCTTCAGAGGGGGGAACGTTGCACACAGCCAAATTAGATAAAAGTGTTACATGCAGTCAGACTAGGACAGGCCCTCGAAGGAGATAACACAGAAGACAAGATACCTTGCAACTGTGGGAGGGACAGATGCTCCTGCTGTGAGCCAGACCTAAAGACCAAAGAGCAAACAAATGCTGACCTCCCTAAAGATTAGCATCCATGATTGATCTTCACCCTGAGAAAGTCAGGAAAAATCCTTATCTGATGGCTCCTGTTTTACATTCATGCCCCCTTGGGATGTGACTCGCTTGCCCATTTGGTCCCGGACTTAATTTTACCTGAGCAAAGGTGATTGTAATCCCATTGGTTGACCATAGTTTTGTCCCACCCCACATCCACCTAATGTGTTCCCCCTTTTTCCACCATAGCCCCACATGGATTTATACTATAAATGTCCCTATAACAGACAGCTTCCCAGGGACAACCCATTCGGGCCCCCTTCCTGTACCTCTCTTGGACAAGAGCTTTCTTTCCCTCAATAAATATATTCTACTCATAAAAAAAAAAAATAAGACTTTTAAAAGTCAATTTTTGTAAAACAGAGAGAAAGCAAGAGATGGCAGAAAGGAAGGAGACATGTCACACACACACACCAACTCCCCGAACAAATGTGACAGTTATGTACTGCAAACATGCACTCATTAAATATTTTCAAATACAAATTTTCAAAAAATAAAATAGTACAGTCTTACCTAGATCAATATCTCGAATTCCCATGTACAATTCAAGAAGATTGTCAATCTTTTCAATCGCCTTTGCTTTGGCTTCAGAAGGCTTTATCAGAGAAAGGAGAAAGGAGATATTACATTTTTACAAGGAAACCTCTAGGTCATCAGGGCAAACCAAGGGGGAAATTGGATGTGGAGCCATTCACGGAGACCAACTTCAGCTCACCGTAGTGTAGGCCTGTGGAGAATGTGGCTCTAATGACATATAAATCAGTACAGTAAATCTTATTTTTAGGGTCAGCATCAAATGATATGGATTTAAAAAAAAAAAAAAAAAAAAGGCCAGGAACTCAGTTCCCAAAGAGCAAAGTACCTAGATGGGGAGACAGACATAAAAGTAAATGACTGTGTAGCAATTTTAAAGGACATCAAAGGTACAGAGACAGCACAGGGGAGGAGGTAAATTTATATCTCTAGGAGTCAGGGAAGACTTCAGAAAGAAGGTGGTTTAAGAACTGGGTTTTCGGGGCCGGGGAGATAGCTCAGTAGAATAAGTGCTTGCCTGGCAAGCACAAGGGCCTGAGCTCAGCTCAGCAGATGAAGGGCCTGCTTTGGCAAGCACAAATCCCTAGTGGGATCATACCCTGGGCCCATATGTTGCACAAGCCCTGCCCACGATGCACACTAAGTTGTTGACCAAGTCTGAGCGTGGTGGTGCACACCTGTAATCCTAGCACTGGGGAGGCTGAAAACAAGAGAATCACTGTGAGTCTGAGCTGTGTAATGAGACCTTGCACAAAATACAAAAAA